TAGAACTGCCCGGTAAACCGTAGGCAGAGAGAGAGAAGAGGATAACAAACGGTCAAATAGATATATATATATGTTCTGACTGTTGGTGGTTGTGTAGCATTGTGTTTGGGTTCAGTGACCGAACCCGAACGTTTGGGACCGAACACAAACGAGCGTCGAAACTCTCTGAAAGCGAACATAAAAATATATAAAAAACAAAAAATAGTTCTCTAAAAAATATGAAAACAATATATGTGACGTAAAATAATAATACAAACAACTTTTGTCATGGAGGTATACTCAAAGCCTCAAATTCGTAACCAAACTCGAGTTAAAAATTAAAAACCAATTTTTTTTAATTTTGTTTTTTAAGATGTTCGGTCAAACATGTTCGGGTGGTGTTTGGCCGAACACCCGAACATGTTCGGACGTTCGAAAAAGCTTCGAACATGTTCGGTGTGCTACACAGGCTGGTGGGATAAACATGGTGCGCATGTTTCCTTGATTCCTTTTTTTATTGACATAAATAATAACAAGTGGACCCGCCGCGGCTCCGCTCGCGGCGAAAAAAGCAGAGATTGTGAGGATTGAAGGAATATATATATATATATATATATATATATATATATATATATATATATATATATATATATATATACATGGTGGCCGGCGTTCAGCCCCGAACGCGGTGTTCGGCCGTCCGCTGCAGCCAAAGTTTTTTTTTTTTTTTTTTTTTTTAACTATAGGTTTGCGGAGGTCGCCCCCCGCGCCTGTGGACCTTTAGAAATGGGGAAAAAAAAAAAAGAAACTGGACAGGGGGGCCGAGGCTATGGTGGACTACTAGGGCCTGGCCAGACCCACGCCCACACACAGAGAATGTTTGGCATCAACAGACTTACAACTGTCCTGTTTGGCATAAATAGGCTTACAGCTGTCCTGCCTCACCTGTTCTACAAGTGGATAAATTAAAAGCAGGAGCTGTCTTACTTGTCCTTGTGGATGGATGATTGAGTGACATTTCACAGGCATTGACCGCACTGAGCTGGGGTAACGGTTGTATCATTAACTTCTATGTGAGGACCTCGTAGGTTCCTGCCAGAACAAGGGCGGTTTGCAAAGTGACTAGGGCAAATGCCTGTCCCAGATTAATCCAAATTCACCTTGAAGGGGTAGCAAAAGAGGGGGAATTATTAGGTGGTGGAGCCGCCAATGGGGTAGCAAAAGAGGGGGCTATCATCTTCGTTCTGTTTTTCTTCTCCAGTCGATGTGGAAACAGACGACAACTTACACCTGAATGTGAGTAGCATCCCATCATCTTTGAAGCTTCTGGGAGACTTTGCTGAACCCAGGTCTGATCGATTCCGTAAAGTGCAGCAAAAGCTACCCAGTTATCACCCTGTCCTGCAATGCCAACGTACACCCAGTCCCCCCTTGAAACTACACACAACTGATTTCTGAGTTTTGCCCATAGACTGAATGCCTGACTGAGTTTCCCGCTTTCTGCTAAGTCTGTGTATGCATGCTTGCTGGACTGCATGACTGTCTGAGTGCTGGATGGCTTGAGTGTGTGTGTGACCGTGCCTGTCTGAGTGCTGGATGGCTTGAGTGTGTGTGTGACCGTGCTTGTCTGAGTGCCGGTTGCTTGAATGTGGCCCGTAAGGGCACCTGTTTGTTCGTTGGGCCCTCAGGGCCGATACTTCTGTGGCCTTGGCATCGGGGGATTGCAGCTAGAAAACACTCAAGTAGTGGTAGGCCGGTACCGCACTGCATAGGGGTAGATGTGCGGGTGCTCGAGGCCGAGCAGAAGAAGACAAAAGTGGCATTTTTAGAGGCCCGGTAGTTGTAGGCTAGGCCTAGGGATGTACCAGTCCAACCAGTCGGAGTCTAGGGCCTGTATGGGCAATCTCAGAGTCTGCAATGATGTTTCCCTCCGAAAGGGAGGAGGTACCGGTTGCTTGGGAGGCCGAGCGGCCTGGAAGTCACCGCCCGAAGAGGCAAGCAGGCCGCTATATCTTCTGGCCGGGCAAACAACCCGGCCTCATTCTCTGTGTGTGGGCGTGGGTCTGGCCAGGCCCTAGTAGTCCACCATTTATTCCGGCCGGAAGACCGATTATGGCTTCATGAAGCTTGGAAAGGGTGCTGAGTCTGTTGACTGAAGTGTCACTTCAGACTTAACATGTTAAGCCAGTCCCTTTTGTACGCTATGATCATGGCAACACCTGACTTAAACCGAAAACCCATCACTTCTGTTAAAGTGATGAAAAGTGGAAAAAATGGACCATGACCTAAGAGTCCATGTCCCTGCCATCACTGCAGAGTAGTCCAGAGCAAAGGATCGGGGAGAGCTTGAAACCTCGCATTTGCTACCTTCACAGTGATTGTATCAATTCATCAGTTCAAACCTCACCATTGCTTAGCAGCTAGTATTTTGTTACCAACAGACCTTACGTTGGGAAGTGTATGTGCACGTGTCCACATTCTCTCTCTCTCTCTCTCTCTCTCTCTCTCTCTCTCTCTCTCT